TGCCTGAACTGCTTTGTCTTTCCCTGTTCTCCCCTCAGCCCTGGGCTGCATCCCGTGCTGGTGGCCTGGGAATGCATTTGCTCAGCCAGTGTGTGACCGAGTGCTGGCATCCAGCAGAGCCCTGCTGAGACAGCAGCACTGCAGAGCTGGACCTGGTTATCTTCTCCTAGCCACCCTTGATTGATATTTAGAAATCTGCTTTTGTTGCCAAGAGATTTACTACTGTAATGATACAAATATTTCTAGCAAACAGACCAAGAGCTGTTGGGTTTGCTTCTGTTGCCGCTTGTTTATGGATGGAAGATGCCAGAATTGAAGTTTAACTGTGAGAAATAGCATGGCAGTCCTGCAGTTGTTTGGATCTGGAGTCATTCTTTGAATTTATTTCTTCCAGATGGAGTTTGTTGGATTTGTCTGTGTCTGGAGGTCAGCGAGTGACTGGGTGGCTGTGGTGGCCTCTGTGCACTGTGTTTTTGTGGTGCCACTTGTGCACTGTAGGGCTGGAACTCTGCCACCTCAGTGGTTGGTCAGTGGTGGTGGGATCAGCTGGATGGCTGCCCCTTCCCCAAATAAACATGATATTGGGTTTGTGGTAGTTTGTTTTGTACTAAAGTTCCCATTTGTAATGTTTAAACACCTCTTCCCTCTCTTGAGGTAGTTAAGGAGATGACCAGCCTTAAGTTATTATTTCATAATAATGGGTTTATAAAACTTGTGTTTGTGAGTTTATGGCCTACTTGTGTTATTTATTTCCAGAATAGACCTGTCTGCAGATCACCAGCTGATGAACATCCTTTTGGCCATTTCTTTATTTTCTAATTACATGTTTTATAGGCAAACTGTGGTAGTTAATGGGGCTGCAGGTCTAAATTCACCTCCAGGATCACCAAAGATTTAAGAACCAGTTAAACAAAAAGAAAAGGGGGTAAGGGGTTGTTTGGAGAGTGGGGGGAGAGCACAGACTCTCTGTGATTTGCTGTTGTGCACTTCAAAGTTTTATGGCCCGTGGTGCATCCCTTGGGAGGATAAAGTGCAAGGAGCATGAAGAAACCCATAAAATGACGAAGGGTTTATGTGGTATAATTAATGTGGAACTTTCCATGAACTTTATAATACTTACACTTTCTTAATTCTACACGAGTTTCTGGTTTGCTAATAAGTAATCTTGAAGATTGCTAATGGAACTTAAATTTTGCATTTTCATCCTGAATTATAACAGGACACATTGTAGGCTGCTATATTTTAGTCTGTAGCTTCCTTACTTGAGTTCTCAGCTGTGGCTGTGCCTGCCTTGGGAAACATTTTTGAGCTGTGGCCAGCTCTGCACTAAAAACCCCCATGTTGATAGAGCTTTACTGGCAAATCCTCCCCATGCCAGTGTGGCTCTGCTTGCACAGACATTTTTTATTGACACTGGATGGATTTGCAGATCTTGGTGTTGTTAGTTGCACCCGTGGCAAAAATAAATGAGGAGAAAGTTCAAGTAAAAATCTGGATTTGCACAGTAAAACCAAATCAGTGCTGGGATGTTGCAGCTCCTGTTTTTAGCTACCAAGGAAATTTTAGTTGGTGATAAATGGAGGAGTCTGCCTGTGCTGCTGGATGAGCAGGGCTGCAGAGCAGTGTGGACCCTTGTTCCTCTGCCTTCACTGGAGCCCCCATGGTGGTGGATGGGCTCGTCAGCTGCACCAGCAATGGCAGGTTTGATTCAAGCAAGGGATAGCATTGGGTGGAGGGCATTGCTCCACCTCCCTAAAAATGTCATGGTGTTATTTGTGGGGAACAGGACCAGGAAACCATGATGGTTCATTTGGAAGAATGGGAACTCTTGTTCCACCAGTACCCTCAGTGCTGCTGGGTGAGTATTCCTCTCCTCTCCTGTTCCCAGCTTCCCTCGACATTCCTCACTGTAGGAATACATTGGTGATTCCAGAGGGCTGAGAAGCAAGTTTGAAGGCAAATGTGTGTATATGTTTGGGGATATGGGTTCTTCACTCTCATAGCTGGTTGGCTGATTTCATCCTTTTCCAAGGTCAGACCTGGTTTAGAGGTCACTGGATTTAGGATTTGGATCCCATACTGTATGGTTGTGTGTTCTGACCACATGGCTTGAGGAGTCCATAATGATAAAGCTGTTTGGATCAAGGCAGGAGGCACTTGTTTTTCACATAGGGTTTTTTTTTGGAGTGAGGAAATGCCATTGCTAAATGCAGAAAAGGGAGATGTAGTCGTGTTACAGGATGGTGAGAATGACCTTCCATTGCTGTAATAACAGAAGGTGGGAGATGCTAACAACAGGAGTTGGAAGGTTTAGCGTCAGCAAGTTCTGACAACTTCTACCAAAACATTTTAAAGGCCTCTATTATCCATAGGCACTTTCTGGATTAATAATACTGATAATTGATGACAATGGAAGAAAGTTAATAAAACGAGCTGAATAATTAGAGGTCTGCCAGCCCTGCAAAATAATGGAATGAGTGATAGAGGGCTTGACTGATACGGAGGTAAGGGGAAGTAATACAATTAATGTCAATTAAAATGTGCCCATGGAAAATAAGCTGATGAGATGTAACTGGGATGTAGTTTGGCTGATAAAAGCAATAATGTGTGCTGTAAAATACTTTGCGCCTTAATGAATTGAATGTAGAGCAATGCAGTGTTTTGAATGAGAACTAGAAATGGTGTAAAATGAATGCAGGGAGTGGGAAGTGAGTATTGGCTGCACTGGGAGGTGGATCTGGAGATGGCTGGGAGCTGCTGGCATGGCAGGCCTTGCCTGGCTCTGGTCTTTTGCCACAGGCAAGTTGTGTTTTTGTGGATAACCCCAGGTATCACAACTCGGGTGTCTGTGAGGCTTTGAGTGGCTCAAGTGTAGGGAAATAGTGGTGACAGTCACACGTGCAGAGCATTGGCTGGGGAGAGGATGTACCCAAAAAGCCCTCTAGAGTTGATACATTTTGAGGCTATCTAGAAAAGAGGCTAGACAGTGCTAAAGGAATAAAGTAGGTATTTATTAAAAATAAATCCTTCCAAGGATGCACCTTGGGCTGTACAAGAGCCTGTCCAAGGCTATACCCAAGATGGACCCTGGGTCACAGGCTTTCACACTTTTATAACTTTTGGTCCATTTACATATTGGGATTAATTGTCCAATTACAGCTTCAGGTTGTGCAGTCCCATCATCCCAGATTGCTCTCCTCAATTTGCTGTTTACACTTTTTGGGCCTGAAGCTGCAATGTTGTCCTTGGTTCTGGGGCTGGAAAAGGATTGTTTTATCTAACTAAACTGTGAGGAGAACTTGCTAACAGTTTATATGGACTGCAGAGTTATATACTAATGCAGTACAGAATCTGAAAAATATGAAAGCTAAAACCTGAGGCATCAGATTCATGGTCAAAAATACTCAATATCCAAATGAAAATCCTGGAATGGCATAATGGAGAGCACCCTCTCCCTGATTTCTTTAGCAGTCCAGCAGAGATCAATCCTGCCTGGCTGCTCCTTGCCCAGGAAGAAGTTGGGAAGTGGCAGCCCTGTTGATTTAGTCCAACACAGGCTCACAGTAAAGTTCCCAGTAACTCAGGGAGCATGCAGGACTCATAAATTACAGAGCAGCTCACGTTTATCATACACATCGCTGCTTATCTTGTAAACTCATCTGCTGGGCTTGCACGAGCAGTTGATTTAACAGCATGTATATTGTTGAACTTGACACATCCAAGAGTCTAATCAAGCTTTAAGAATACCAGGGATGTCTGGCTGCTGGTGTGAAGTCTCTGCAATTCCTAAGTAATTTCTAAGAATGATCGTGGGCCAGGCTCTGTCGGGTTCACTGCAGGTCACAGGGAATGTCTGTGTTGTAGGGAATTGCAGAGGAGTTTTATCATAGTGCTGGCATGTGTTTTATGATATAAAATGATTAGATGTGTAAAATGAAGTTAATATCCTTTTTCTGTACATTTTCAAGTGGGAAATGACTATAAATTAATTTTGTAGGGTAAAATGCCAGTGAGTAACTGTAGTGCTTGTGTAGCACTGTCCAGGATCTGTCATGGGATGCATGAGGCTGGTGGAAGATGACAGAGATCTGGTGTGTTTGGAGGGAGAACTAATAAAGTTCTGTGTTGTGGCTGGTCTCTCTTATGCTGCTGCTCCAGTTCCCTTTCCTGTGGGGACTGATTTGGTTGATAAACATATGGATTTCATGGGGCTTTGATTCTTTGGATGGGTTAGAGGGTGATAGACACCTTCAAGGTGCTGCTGGTGTGGGATTGCAGGGCTTTTTGGGACTTGGGTCTTTTAAGAGGAATTGATGCACCTTCTACATATTTAGTAATAAAACCCAATAATTTTATATTATTTAGTATTTCTGCTTTTGAGACCCTTGGGCATGGTCAGGTAGGAAAATTTCATCCCTCTTCCTCACTCTCATGCTAAGGAACTACATTTACTTTGAATTGTGAATGGAAATAGAAGTAACCCGGGCTTGATCAGGTATGGTGTGTTTAGTTCTAAATGAACTAATAGACCTTGAGTTGCATTTTGCTGCAGCTTGACAAAATTATAGCAGGTGCTGGGGCTCTGTGCTTATTTACTTGCAAATCCTGTCAAGTGTGAACTTCATTTATGACTTCCCTGGCAGGTCGTGCCGCTGTGGTCACAGCTTCTACAGTGTTTTGTTACTGTTGCTTGTAAAATTTGCCACTGAGGGAAATAATGAGCTAAAATAGGCACAGGTAAGCACACACAGGCTCCTTTTGTCCAAATCCATTGAAGTTCTTCTAAAACTTTGCAACTGGAAAGAATTAAACTGTGTTTGTATTTCTGAAATAAAGTTGCGGTTTCAACAGAAAGCTGTTATTTGTCTTTATTGCCATGGCAAATTGTTCTTTTTGGGCTGGGGAACTGGGGGGTTTCCAAGTCTTGTCATTGCTTGAATCTCCTGGTTGCAACCACCCATTCTCCTGTGTGTACATCATGTGTCTCCTCTTTGTTCTAGATGATCATGGGAACAGCAATGGCAGTCATGTAAAAATCTTTTTACCGAAGAAGCTGCTTGAATGTCTACCAAAATGTTCAAGTTTACCGAAAGAGAGGCACCGCTGGAACACTAACGAGGTAGTTAAGTCTCTTACTTATTCTTCAATGTACCAGCTTACTTAATGCTCATGGATTGTTTTGTGAGAGCATGCCGTGCAAGTTACAGGATATGAATTCCCTGGCTCTGGAACCTCTTCCATAAATAATAAGTCATAATACATACTGAAAGTAAGCTTTAAGTGAGACTTGAAGGCAAATGTGGAAGTTGACTTCTGTTTTAGACTTCCAGGAGTCTATTGTTCATGTGTGTGACTTGTCTCTTTCACATCACCTTAATGAACTATTTCAAAATGGTTTAAAATTAGATAGGCGTGTTTGTACCATGATGAATGAAGTGTTACTTTCCTGTGCATGAAGACTTCTGAAGAAAAAATTGGTGTGTGTTCTTTCCTGCCACACAGGGTCCTGGGAAATAACCAGCTTACCTCTGTCTGAGTAATCTCATTAAGAATAAGGAAAACACAGAACTGGGTTTTTTTTACTGGAATCCAGTTACTCTGAGTATGCTGGTTCACAGATCACCTGTTACTGCATTATGGTTGGGGTAATTTAAATTAAAAAGAAGTATTTTAAATTCTGTGGGCCAAGGTGAAGTTAAAGAACAACCAGGTAGCTCTACAATCCCTAGGCTTTACTCCTGCTGTGCAGCAATGCTGAATGTCCCATGGCAATACCCACAGTGTGTAGTTTTAGTTTTTAGTAGCTCTGTCTTAGTGTAGCTTTGCCATATTTATGGGAATCACTTAATAATAGAGGAAATCCACTTGGAGAAATGACTATAAAACTCCAGTTAGTGTCTGCTTGTTGAGAGCTGACTGGTCCTGTTCCTCTGATCCCTTGTTTGTAGATGTAAACTTGTTAACAGAACCTGTGCTCCTGAGTTTAGCACCTGCAAGTGGCAGCTGAGTGCAGGATCAAACACAGCTCACTTCTCTGTGTGTGTTTGCTGAGCATAGAATCAATCACAGAGCAGTGACTGTGTGTATTTTTCAAAATTGGAGTCCTTACCCCTCTTTTTCTGGTGTCTGGAAGTTACAATCAGGTATTTTTTTTAACATACCCAGTACCGTGATAGAATGAATCGGGTCTTTGGGGCAGTTGCTGGCCTTGGCTTTTTTGTGTAGATGTTTTTGTCTTGGGTCATTTGAATTGAAATGTAAATCATAGAAAATGTGAGTTGTTGTTTATTCTGTGATAGTGTTTGTATTAATGGGGACAGGGCATGGAGCAGTGGCAGATGATGTTTGGACAAACACAGCTGGTGGCAAGCAAGCTCTGCACAGGTTTGTGACAGAATTATGCTCTTCCCTCTTACTGGAAAGAGCTGCTTGGGGTGGGGTTTAGTCACTTTAATGTTGCTGCTGTCCCCAGTGCAGAACTTTGTGCACATGTGGCTTTGGGTAGGATTGGTGTGTGGAGCTTCTTATGAGTACAGGATATGGCAAAGTTCATTATGCAGCTGAAAACTGTTATTATTCATGAGTAAAAGCAGGAACGTGCAGGTGCTTGGTGTGATATATTAGGTTAGGTGGAGAATTTGGGAGTGTGGCTGTTCTCCTAAGGGTTGTGTCAGTGTTTTGGGGAGTGGGGAGTGAGCAGCTCTGCTGGTGCTCACCAGTGTATTGCTGGTGGGATTGTCTGTTGCTGTAATTCTGGATGATTGTTTGCTGATAGACACAGGTCGTCATCAGCTGGGACATTAAAAACAGACTCAGCCCCTGTCGGTCTTACTGAATGTCAGATTCCTCTCTCTCATTTGTATCCCCTCTTCACAAATCTCTCACTGAGGCTGTTATACCATGGGGATGTGGAGCTGGGTCTGTCCATGGGTTGTAGCTTGTGCTGACTCTGCCAGCCTGTGTGGTGTGGTGTGGCTGGTGCAGTATCCCTGTTGCATGATTTAAATGAAAGAGCTTTTCTTGTGGCCAGAGATTTTTTGGCCCCATTAGCTCAGAGGGGGGGAAAAAATAGAAAAAGCCAGAGTCTTATGCTTAGATGAAGTCTTGGAAATTTGTGTTAATTATGGGGGAGGAAGGAGCTGAGCTTCCAGATTTTACTGCCTTCCCCACCCCCAATCTGAAAGTTTAATTCTGTGCACTGTTATAAAACTTGAAATTTTCTTAGGGTATAATTGAATAATAATGTTGGACTACATTCCCGAGGCATTCCTGAGGGAATAAATTTTTTCCTCTGAGTACACAGGTGTTCTGCCTGTGCTAGTGAAGACAGAAGTTGTAAAGTAGAGAAGAAAAAGTTGTATTTTATACAGTGGTATTTCCAGAATTTTTGTACTGATTTCAGAATCCCTGGTCCTGTGTGTGAGGTGTCTCCTGGACAGGGAGGTTTAGTAGAAGGTGGAAAATAAATGAAATGCCTAAACAACTTAGAGATCTGAATGTGCGTGACAGTTCTGTCCTCCCTCAAATGGTGTGTGTTGGGCAGTCACAGGAGGAGTCTCTCCACGAGCTGCAGCGTGTGAGTGTAGCAGACATTGGTGTTGGATTCATCCCCAGGGTGTGGAGGCCCAACCCTCTAACCCAGCCATCACCCGACTCCTAAACGTTCCCTTTGTGCTCCTTTGCATGGAGATGGTTCAAGAAGCCTTGAACACAGCTCTTGCCTGTCTCTTGTGGCCCTGAAGCCCAGCACACAGGTGTTCCCAGCCGTGGGGGTGCGGGCAGCAGCATGAGCATGTGCAGCCACTGGGCCTGGACTCCATCGGGCCCTCGGTGCTGCTGGCGCGGAGGTCAGGGAGCAGCCAGGGTACAGCATCACCATGGGAACACAGCAAATAGCTTTTTCTGAGCACTTATGTCTGCAGCTTGAGAATGATGGTTAGATGCTACTCAGGATTGGGTAGTTGGGAGGGAGAAACTGTGTCCTCTGAGAGCTGGGTGGGCTGTGGATGACTTTACATGTAGTAAAATCACATGATGAGCAGCGAGAGAAATGGAGCGCTTAAAAATGGTTCAAACATGTTATTGAGGTGCTTTCCATTGGATCATGCTTTTGCAACTGAAATGTTTGATGGAAATACATTTCCATACCAAGATGTCATCTTGTCTTAAATCAAGTTTATAGCGGTTTTATATTTCCTACTGAAGGAACTGTTCCGTCTAATTCAATTTTTTTTTACCAGAGATAGAAAATCTTAAGTTAAGCCTAGCAATTTAATTACAGATTTACATTTTTGAAATGCCTGTAAAGGTGCATTGTGCTTATTTCTCCAGCTCTGGGAGAGGATAGAGACGGGGCTCTCATATTATTTCTCACATTAAGACAAATGAGTTAGTTGCGAGAAACTTCTGCAGTGCTTGTGCTTGTGAGGGAGTTCCTCACTCCAAGGGTTTAGTTGTTGTTCACTCTGAACCATTTTAGGGTTTGTGAAATGCAGATCCACTTTGGTTTCAGTGAGTGGATGGAGCAAAGGCTTCTGGCTCGGCGTGCTGGCAGCGCGCCTTGAGCGAGAATTTTGGGAGCACTGGATCTCGGCTCCCTTCCATGGGAGCAGGGCTGGGTTCTCAAAGCAGGGCTGCACAGAGCCACCCTCCAGGTGCCCCAGCTGAACTCGTGTCCCCTGACAGAGGTGGTGAAGGTGGTGCCTCATTACTGTTAGTCACTTTGGGGGCAGCAAGATGTGTTGTCTGCAGGAGATGCATCCCGCTGCTTTCTGTCTGGGAACTGGGAGCTTCCCGGGGTGCTGGGGCTCAAGGATGTTGGAGTAACCTTGTCTGTGCACAGCGCCTGCCAGACACCGGATTGCAGCTCTGAACAGAGATGCCGTTCGTTAACAGTTGGCAGCCGCAGTCATTAATCATCCTTGTAAACACTTAATGACACGGTGCGAGAAAGAAGAAAAAGTTAAACATTGGAAATGTAAAATGCTATCTTGGGCTTTGGTTCCAATAGGATTCTCTATTTACAGTCTCTTGGGAGAAGCCCAGGACTTTCATGGTAGGAAAAGCCAGCGGCAATTGCTCCATGTGCTTAGGCTTGTCTGGAGGGGCATGGCAGAACTGCCCTGCTCTCTAGAGTCACCCAGCCATCCACATTTTGCAGTCACTAGGCTCAGATACTGCTTGGGAGAGTATTCAAATAATGCAATTATGAAACTGTATTGAGCATTATTTAGCATAGGAGGAAACCCTCTCTGTCTCTGCTGCCTGGGGGCCCAGGAGTCGCGTGTTCACTGACATCTCGATGTGCTCTGGCGTCCTTGCTTTGCTCGCATGACAGTGACATTCTCCTTTTCACTTGACAACGAGTTATTTGCCATCTTTTCTCTAAAGCACAGAGAAGATCTTGAAGCTTTGGAGAACTGCCTGAGGGACGTGAGGGACCCAGACTGATAGGGGGAGCGAGTCTGGAGCCTTGGGGCTGGCTGTGATGCTCTGAAATGCTGGCAGGGAGGAGGTGGAAGCAATTCATTCCTACTGCCTGCTCCTGCGGCTCCCCTCGGCTGAGTGGCGGGCAGCTGGTCACCGCACGGCTCCTGTCGCCACACGTTTGTACATCCAAGCCCTGCTCTGCTTCAAACTCAGCAGCAGGGTTACTGCTACTGCTTTTTTTTTTCCTTTTTTTTTTCCCCTTTTTAATGTTTCTAAGTGTCTTTTAGAATCGACTCTTGTATCAGAAAACTTTAAAAACCTCCTTGTTTTAAGGTGTGGTGTATTGTAACTCTGCACTGCCTGTTCCAGTCCATTCCTTATTCACCAAAGTAGCTGAACGTGTTACAAATATGTGATGTTGAGCAAGTGTATGGGACCAGTTTGTGTCACCAGCCCAGGTGGAGCAGGGAAGAGTTGTTGATGTAGGTCACAGTGTCCCCTCAAGATGGCAAAACTCAGTGGAAAAGGAGCAGTGTTCAGTACAGCTCCCTGTGGACTCTGAAGTCCAGCATATCTTTTTAAATGCGTTACATCAATTCATTCAGATGTGTTCAGCCGGAGCTCAGGGTTCCTAAAGCCAGAGGCTGCTGGCAGCTGTTGGGAGAACCCTGTCCCTGCTTAGGAACACTC